TGTCCACGTTGTTAGGTCCTGTTACAATGTCTATCTCGGGGGCATGAATGGCACCAATCAGATCTGCGCCAAGTCCGTCCTTGCTCAGATGATGATGATTGTTTTCACCAGGGTGGAGGAGAACTCCATGATGGTGGAATTCAAGACCGTCTCTGTGGCTGAACTGTTGGAGTTCACGGATAGGAATTTGAATGAGGGCAGCTCTATACAGTTCGCCCAGAACTTTCTCAATGAGATTGTGGATGCCAAATCCAAGGAAGGCCTTGCTGAATCGAAATTGTGTTTGCAGTTGGAGAATGACAAGGGTGAAAAAAAGAAGGGTGAGCCCACCGATGGGGAACTTAGTGAGGGAGCTGATCTGAGTGGTTACAGTAAAATTAGAGAGGACGGTTTCATGCTCTTCAAGAATTTATGCAAGTTGTCTATGAAATTTTCATCACAGGAGCATGCAGATGACAATATTTTGTTAAGGGGGAAAGTGTTATCGTTGGAGCTCCTAAAGGTTATAATGGATAATGCTGGTCCAATTTGGCGCTCAAATGAGAGGTTTATGTCATTCTGTTACTGTGTTCTGCTGATTTCTTGCCGTCTATTTCTTTTTGTTTGTTACGCAGGGTCTACTCATTCAACTAATATGGCCGGGAAATTACATCTTATGCTTTTATGATAGACCCTCTTAAGTCAAGGAGTTAACTTCTGTCACCAGTTCGACAATAGATCTTTCTAATTGGAACTTTTAGATTAGTTTTGCTTGCAAGATGTGATGGTTTAAATAAATGTCTAGCTTCCCCTGATATACAGACATTACATAGATTGATATGATAGTTCGCCTGCCCTTAAAGAAATCTTTGGTGGTGTAGAATGTAGTTAGTTCTCAGATAAAGGATGAAAAAATGTCAGTGGGAGAGCTCACGAAGCTACAAGTGTCGTAGAAACGGATTATTTGTAGTATTTGACCATTATGCATCTCGGCTATTCCACCAGATACCAAGCTTATCGTGATTGCATGAAGTTGTGGTGTAAACTTTGAAGCTTGGGTTCTTGTATCTTTTCACTACATGTCATTTCGAGTTGATTTATGTTCGCTTTGAGGCTTTTTCTGGTTGTTTCTGTTTAAATTGGAGCTCCAACTAGACTGTCTTTTGAGCTCATTTCGAGATCTTCAAGCTTAGTCAAGTGATATGGTTGTCTCACTCATATTGACTTGAAGTCAATCTCCCCTTCAGATCTACTTTGCTCTCCGTCTTCGAATATGGCCTCGGTCGAGGCAACAACCAGTTTTCTACAGGATTCTTGTGTTGTGACTTACCTTTGAAGGAAATTCTTCTTTTTGTTCATTTGTTTCCTTGTTTTACATCTCTGGTTTTCTGAACCTTGAAACTTGGCGGCACAGAAGTGCAAATGGCCTCCGGGTACCTCATTCTGGTTCACTTGCTTTAAGTTCCACTTTTAGACTTTTGTCTTGATGGGTCAGAACCACTTCTTAGGCTCATTTTAACTTCAGTTCATGGTGTAGAATTTTTTAAAAGTGGCCTGTCATTATGTAGTCCACTTTCTCCTTGTCTTATGGGGTCTTCATCATTCTCTTCTTGTGTTGCCAAAGTGAAAACATAACTAAGGCACATATTTAACTACAGAAAGGCACAAATAATCCTAATTTAGAAAAAGTCAAAAATAATGAATAAGGGGTAAATGTGATGCAATAAAAAATTATTTTTAATACAAACAACAATTATATGAACAAAGAAATTGAAAAACCTTCAATCAAGTGAAATATATGATTTGAGATTGAGGCGTAGCAATAGTATTTGTTGTTAAGTGAAATATACGAAGTACAAATCATGTTTATCGAGTTCCAAACCATTTTAAATTTGTAATTCAGATGCAAAGATACAAATTTAAGTTTCTAATTCAAAATTTAGCGAATGATTATCTTATACTAAATTTTGACTTTTCTGTTTCTCATCTCTTACGCTTTGCAAGTTATCTTAATTGTTAGAGTCAACCCTTTTCAAGATAGAGTATGTGGACGATTTGACGCATGCCTTAGGATAAGTCTCTTGGTGAAGCACACAACTTATCTATGCTTAGCTTCAGTCTTCAAAAGTTAAGCTGGCATCAAGCGAGTCCTTGACAACACTAACCTTGCCATGCGTTCAATTAGAGCTAGGCTTGACGAGCAGCGGGGGAGCTGGGGGCGTAAGGGGTTTCATCAGAACCTCCTTCGCCGGAAAAAACACTTTATATATAGTATAAGTTGAATCCCCTTGGCTTGTTCTTTTGTTTACTTCTATATATTTTGAATTCCTTTAGTGATAATCCTTGATGTGCCACTATGAGGCTCAAGGACCTTCCCCTTTTTCATAATGGACCTTGCTTCCCCCACTTACATTAAGTCCGCTCCAGGCCTACGTTTTATGGCCCATCTGTGTTCATATTTGTATTGCAAACGTACAAATGGGTCGTCCTATGCCATTGGCGGTTGGTTGTCGTCTTCTTCCTCTATTCTAGTGTCTTTTTGTACGTTAGTGATGACTAACGATTGTGGTTCTCACATTGCCTTCAGATTGAAAGACATTGGTCTCAACTTTTTTGGGTCGTAGTTGATGCTTCGAATTTGTCCACTCAGCTATTTTTCCGGTGAAACCCATTTTTGGTTACACATAGTGCTATTCTCATCCAAAATTTAACTACAGTACTCGTCTGCCTTGGTCCTTTACTAAAGTTTATTTTAATTTTAAGGTCCTTAGAAATCTAACCCCAAATGGGGCATTCCATGCATGAGAAGCGGATCCGCTACGTCTCGGGTGAACCTTCTGACTTCTGTCACATGTACACACCCTGTATGACTTCTAAACTCCAACTTCTTCTTGGTTTTAGAGTTCGAGTCTTCACCATATTATCATGCTTGCGGCTTGGTTCATGTTACAACCCTCACTTCTTTTGACATTCTGCTCCAGAAGATTCCTTACTTACTGGCAGAAGTTTTAGAGAGAAGGAAGAGATGGTAAAAACTTGACTGACAGATTAACATTTGTAGGATAGCAAGTCTTAGATTATCATTACTGGTAAAAGTTGGACTACAAATCCTTGTAACGGGTCTTGCATCTAATACTGAAGTTGATGTAAGAGAGTTTCTCAAAAAAAAAAAAAGGTTTCTCACAACACTTAAGATATTGAAACTCGTAATGAAACAAGAATATGAAAGTAAATCCTGATGTAACTGAGTTTGCTGTAGCTGGAAAAGTGATTTAAGCTAAAATTTCTTTTAGATTTATTCTTGATTGTAGATTTTATCCTACAACATTCAACTTGATTGATAAAGAAAGTCCGCCCTTCTTTATTCTTAATGTAGCAAAGTCGAGCTTTGTGTAGAAGTCATTTGTCTCAACTGGGTTCTAAAGAACTCAAGATAATAATATGTTAAAGTATCTGCATTTTCGAAAAAAAGGTTGATGTATCCGGTATATTTCTGGCTTAACATTGTCCTCTGAATACAGGTTTCTCAATGTTATCAAGCAATTTTTATGCTTGTCATTGTTGAAGAACAGTGCATTATCTGTGATGACGATCTTTCAACTTCTTTGTTCAATATTCAAGAACTTATTATCAAAATATAGATCTGGGTTGAAATCGGAAATTGGAATCTTTTTTCCCATGCTCATCTTACGTGTGCTGGAGAATGTGCTTCAGCCTAGTTTCTTGCAGAAGATGACTGTTTTGAGTTTGCTGGAGGAGGTATCAAAGGATCCTCAGATTATCATTGATGTCTTTGTCAATTATGATTGTGATGTCGATGCTCCCAACATTTTTGAAAGGTACTTTTTGTTAGTTGTGCTCTACTTTTTGCTATGACTGTAATCTATGTCCTCTAGTATGTGACCAAGTAAACTTTGAAGAAGAACAATCATATATTTCACTAATGGCGTATTTGGATTATATTATGTAATGGTTTGTTTCATCAGTCGTAGACACTGCTGCATTCATTTTACAAGCTTCTTAGTTGATTGTTGAGATTTATTCTGATGTTGCACTCTTTTTTCAAGCTTCTTAGTTGATTTTGATGTTCACAGTAAAAATCCAGAGTCGAGGTCCTTGAGTTTTATTATGTTTTTGGTTGGACTTTAAAGTATATGATGGATTCTTTAACCGAAAAAGGTTATAGTAGAATGTTTCTCTTTGTTGTTAGGTATGAACCGAAAATCCAAGTCTGAGATACAACTTGATCTCCAAGTCTAATAGTTTTTGACTCGGTCTAGACTTGTCCCAAGTTTATTTAGTTTCCAAGACACTTCCCATATTAACCTCAGACTATTTGCCGATAGCGTTGGCTGTAATAGGAGGCAAAGGCGAAGGGGGCATGCGCCTCTCATATCCGAGGTCACATGGCTAAGGGTGATGGACTTTGGGAATAGGATGGTGCAATGGTGAGGTAGTTATCAAAAGGAATATTGTCTTTCCAAATGGCTAGCAAGATGAAATTCCTAAGAAGGGATAATTGAAGGTTGAACAAACAGGTTTATGGGTGGGCAAAGGGTAAATAAGATTGCTAATGCCTATCTTGGAGGAATTAGAGAGTAGATAGGGGAGATAGTTAGATTGCGGAGGAGAAAGTGGAGTTGGCAATAGTCCAGGAAACTTCATGGAGGCAAAAACCAAAGAAGCTTTGGTATAAGAGCTTTAGGCGAGAGACTAGTTGTTGTGCAATCACCCGCAACATACAAGTGATAAGCTCCCTTGCCATCAATGTTGTCAAAGGCGGCAAAAAAAGGCGCAATGAAGGAAAGAAATAAATATATATGTAATTCAAGGAAAAAAGTTAATAAATTCACTCATAATATTTTCCTTAGTAACTAATACACTTGTTTGTCGATTACTATTGTTGTTTAATAATGCCCAATTTAAGATAACAAAATAAGTGCACACTTTAGTGCCTTGGTACACACACTGAAATGCAACTTGAGCGAAGCGAAGCACCCTGTCATGCACCTCCACGTGCCAAGGAGACTCCTTTTCATTGTGTACCTACCTCTGGGTACCCACTGCCCGAAACCTTGTCATGCACCTCCATGTGTGTCCCGGTGTTATCAAAGGCGAAAAGCGCAAAAAACCTTTAAGGTCTGTTGGAGCTTTAAGCGCGAAGCGCAAGTAAAGCGTGGACTTTAATGAAGAAAGGCGCAAGTGAAGAAAACTACAAATATATATGTGTAGTCAAAGACTAATATCTATAGGCATGCATACCAAATATATGAACAAAGAAATTGAAGAAAATTTATGATAAAGTAAAATATCAATTGTTTAGTATCGCCTATTCAGGATTACGCTCATTGGCAAGGAAAAGTATGCCTTAGAGCCTTGATGACAATACTGAAGTGTCCGCTAAGCGAGGCGAAGCACTCAACATGTTTTGAGCCTCACTTTCAGGGCTTCAACGCGCCTTTAATAACACTGTAGTGTTACGCTCCAAAATCCCACCAACTCATGATGGCACCTAACCCGACTCGCTAGGTAAGCCAATCAACATATAACACAGCTCAGACGGAAGATCATCAAATACATAATAAAATAAGAATGCGAAAATTAATTCAAATATCCCCAAAAACTGGTAGTACAAATCATGAGCCGCTAAGATTAAGAAGTACAACGTTGGTGTGAAGAAAATACATTATCTGTTTGGAGTTTACATAAACAGAAATATAAGTCCTATACTACCATGAACAAATGGTAACTTCAAGCTTGTAACAGGAACACTGGTACATCTTCAATGATAGCCTTCGACTTCCATAACAGCTCAACTCCAAAATTTGCACACAAGGTGTAGAAGTGTAGTATGAGTACAATCGACCCCGTATATTCTGTAAGTATCAGGACTAATCTCAACAAAGTAGTGACGAGTTTTAGTAAAAAAATACTCACTTTATATAACCTTTGCAGCTCATAGGCATACACAATAACAGAGAAATAGTTAAGAAACAATCAAAGAACAACAAATATCAGTAGTAAGGTGCTCAATCAAAGAGGAAGGTAATAAGCATGCCTTTTCAATTAAACAAGTCAAAGCAAATACAAATGCACTTTCACATACAAAAGAGATATGCACCAAGTAATGTTTACTCGAATATTTTTGTATGAATGTAGAGTGTCTATGCATGATAAAGTCCAAATTACATATCAATTACCAATTAACATTTATTCTTATGCTTCTATATGAGTCCAAAATGTCCTTGCATAATCTCATGCCAACATTATGCAAAATATAGAGTACTTAGAAGTTCTCTATATTTCCTACCAGCATAATAATCTCTAATAGAGCTAAAAAACTCATAGAAAGCATACCATTTGAATTAAATGTACTAATACGAGTAAAACATATTCTACCTAAGTGGTATCGGCTTTATAGATCTTTTCCTTCCATTGTGGCATGTGCTCTAGCCTCTAGGTCTACCCATCAATTTTAACGCCTTCATTCACCATGGTTTTGCACCTAAGGAGACCGGTGCATCTGGAGGTCGATGCAAAACATGACAAAACCATTTTAGACGACTTCCTCTCATTTTATGCTCAATGTGTGCTACTTGCACCTTCCAACAAATGCGAACAATTTTAATCTTGTATTGATACACATGCATTTTAGCATCTTCATCTCTGCAACACTCATCTTGTGGATGTGTTGGACTGTAGCATCTGACTTTTCACTCTCATATAACATTACTGGTCTTGTATTTGTTTTATAGAACCCACCTTTCACTTTGGTGGGCATCCTTCTATAACATAATGCCTCGATAGCACTTCTTCATTTCAACCATCTAATTTTGATTATTTTTGTATCATCTTCACATATCATTCATTCTCTTTGACCAACGAGCCTAAATATTTGAATTTACATTTAGATACCACAATCCCTTCTAATCTCACCTGAACTTCGCATTTCTTATGCTAGCTAAACTTGCAATGCATATATTCGGTCTTACTTCTGCTTATCCTAAATCTCTTACTCTCTAGAGTGCTTCTCCGTAGTTCAAGCTTTGGGTTGACACCCTCGTTGTTTTAGTCAATTAGGACAATATTATCAGCAAATAGCATATGGGGAATCATCTTGTGCTGTATTGGAAAAAATTTCTCTCCATTATCTGAACTTCTATCAATAATATTGGAATCTAGAATCGTCGGGCATTTTCACTTGCATTTCCTCTCTCTTATCTGTGTTGTTCACAATCTCTAAGGAGTTTTCCTTCTGCTGCTTCTATCTGGAAATCTAAGGTTCTATTAAAAATTGAGGCTTATGTGTCCCTTTGTTGCCTGAAAGCTTAACACCTATAAGCTGTTACAATTAAGAAAACCTTACTAATTGAAAGTACATATTAGGCGATTGCGCGTAAAATAAACTATAAAGTTACTCTCTTTTTAATTTGTCCCCAGGGCTTTGATCTTGTGGTAAGAGTGCAATGCGTGATGTGTGTTAGGCAGACATCATGGGTTCGAACCCTGCTGCATAGAAAACTCTGGTATTTAAGTCGAGAAAGGTTATCTATCGAGTTTTGAACCGTTTGCCACTGGTTTCTAGGGATTTCTCGGTTACATAAAAAAAGAGTATTTTTCTTTTAAAAAAATTAGCAGTTATATATGTTGAGAATATAGTGTATAAATAGGCATTTCTTTATCAAATCATCAATACATCTCTCTCATATTTTCCCGTGTCGGATATCAGCTATAGGATGAATATCTTATTCTCCCATAGTTCGATAACAAATATGAACTCAACCTTAAGATCAAGAGTAAGGTTGTGTCCTTAGCTCATTGGCGATTTTGAACAAAGTATTGTGATACTGTTGTATGCCAAGAACTTGTGAATGCAACTATTTAAACAGTCACTTTTAATGAGACAGGAAGCCGACCTCCTTATCCTTGCTTGGCTCTCTTTTGCAGCAATGCACATGCTTTTTTGCTGTTGTATTATACTGTTATTCATATATGTTTCCTGTCACTGAATTCTTATGTTATTTTCATCTAAATTGAATTAAAACAGCTTTAATTCCATCAGATATTTGCAGGACTGTTAATGGTCTTCTTAAAACTGCTCTTGGTCCACCTCCTGGTTCCACTACTACATTGTCTCCAGTCCAAGATATTACATTTCGTTCTGAATCAGTGAAATGCTTAGTTACAATTATAAAGTCAATGGGGACGTGGATGGACCAACAACTGAAGGTAGGGGAGCCCAATCTAGATAAGGTGTCCGATCATGAAGTGCCAGAAGCCGCTGCCAGTGTTTGTGAAGAGGGAAATATTATTGACTACGAGCTGCATCCGGAAGCAAATTCTGAATTTTCTGGTGCTGCTGCCTTGGAGCAGCGCCGTGCTTATAAATTAGAAATACAGGTTTATCATCTTTGTTTGCACATTCCACTATCTTCATTCTCTGCTTTCATTCACTTCATGGTACTTGAGGTATGGTTAAGTACTGACAACTCTAATGAATCAAATGCAGAAAGGTGTTTCCCTGTTCAACAGAAAGCCTTCAAAGGGGATTGATTTTTTAATGAGCACCAAAAAGCTTGGCAATTCCCCAGAAGATGTAGCCTCTTTTCTGAAGAACGCGACCGGATTAAATCCATCCATTATTGGTGATTATTTGGGTGAAAGAGAGGAGTTTCCTCTGAAAGTTATGCATGCATATGTCGATTCTTTTAATTTTGAAGGTATGGACTTTGGTGAATCAATCAGATATTTCCTTAGAGGGTTTAGATTACCTGGTGAAGCTCAGAAGATTGACCGTATAATGGAGAAGTTTGCGGAGCGCTATTGTAAATGCAACCCAAACTCTTTTACCAGTGCAGAAACAGCTTATGTGCTTGCTTACTCTGTGATAATGCTCAATACAGATGCACATAATAGCATGGTGAAAGATAAGGTACCCTGGGAATCTCTCTGAAGTGTTTTTCTCCTAGGTGTATGATCCAGTGCATGTTTTCTTAAATTCTCCCATTATTGTCTGCTACTTTCATTCATTTCTACCCTTAGGGGCGGTTTGGTTTGAAACAAGTTACATGAATTAATAATGCATGGATCGAAAATTTGGGAAAATTTAATTACCAAAAAAAGTTAAAATAATACAGGGATTGTAATATGGGGTTTATTCTTGGTTAGATGTTTACAAATTCCTGGTTAGTTTGTTATATTACAAATTAGTACACAATCTATAATTTAAAATATGAGTTTTACTTTTTCAACAAAATAAAAGTTTTCTATTATTATGAGGGTTAGTTTTGTAATTTAGTGCTTATATTCATGTATTACCGATGGCCACATTCTTACTTCACACTCTTTTCCACGTGAAATAATAATAGCTTTCCAGCACAACTTATGCAAGTATTATTTATGGAAATAAAAAGTAGCAACCAAATATTGTATCAGTTAATGTGGAATTGTGTGCAGAGTTTAAGGACCTGTTTGTCCATACAGAATTTTTCCTTTTTCGATTCTTTTTTTTTTTTCCAAAACTTGTTTGGTTATACATTGGATTGAATTTTGAAAAAAAATTTGAAGATGGGTTTCCAAATTTGAAAAAGAGGGTTTTACCACTTTTTCATGTAAAATTTCATTTTTCCTCACAAAACTACAATATTTTCATGTCCAAACACAATTTCAAGTTCCAAATCTTTTTTCAACTCCAAAAATTACTTTTTTCATAAATCACAATTTTTATGTCGAAATGCCTACTAAATCTCCTCACTACCCAACCAAATGACTAGCTTACTGGCTTGTTGAACCTGTGTCACCCGATCACATAGATTAGTTCATAAAATACAACTTATTAAACTTTAGTTCTTTTGCAATGGGCCAAAGCTCAAAGTTAGTACTGTAGTCATTGCAAAATATTGTCCTTGAACAAATATATTCTTATTCGAGAGGTTGGTATTGAATTTGTCTATGTTTTCTTGAGGATGACAATAAGAAAGAAAAATATGTCCAGTATATAAGTTTCCAATAATATTATTAGTGGCCATATTGGACAAGGATTAGAGTATAAGAGTTGTGACTTATGACTATGAGAAGAGCACAAAACCAATATTGAATAAAAGACATAATGTGCTTGAGAGTTGGCTATATATACACCTTGAACTTTTTTGAGCTTATCACATTCATTATTGTTTTTAGGAGAATTGTGTAATGGTTGATTGAAGGTGCCACATGCACATCTCAATAGCTTTCAATCTGGGGTGTCTGTCATTCATTCATTCAGTCACTCATTCCATTCTTTGGTATTAACAACTTAGCCAATTTTGGAGGCAAAATCACTAGGCGATTTCTTCCCATTTGTCCAAGCCTTCGTGGACAGAGTTATCCGTTACTTGTACTGGTTGGAGGTAGCAGGTGCTCCATAGAGGCGCACGCAAGCTGGCCCAGACACCACGATTATAAAGAAAACAAAAACAACTTAACCAATTTACCGTGCTGTCAGCTTAATGTAGTGAAAGATCAATAGACTATGCAAATTTGACATTCTAGGAATAGGTTAAATAGTACATAACATGCAACACACTAATGGCGAACCCCAATAGATAAAAGGGCTTTTCAAGCCTCTTGTCCTTCCTTATGAGTTTTTACTCGGCATTAAAGTATATAATAAGAATTCTAGTGAATGAAAAATAATGGAGTAATATAAAATAAAACCCCTGAAATAAGATGGTTAGTGATTTTGTGCATATAAATTCATAGCTATATTGACAGATGAGAATTTGAGTAAAAGAGGATAAAATATGCCAACGGGTGCTTCAAGTGCAAATGTCTAGGTGAAGATGTGGACCACCTCCTCCTACATCATTGGGTGACAACTTGCTTGTGTTTTGAGATGGTTTGGGATGCAGTAGGCAATGTCGGGCACAATGGAGGAGGCACTGGCCAGTGGGAAATTCAGAAGGAGAAACAGAACTTGAAGAGTCGGGAATGTTGCCCCACTAACACTTATGTGTTGGACCGATGGAAGGAAAGAAATAAGAGAGCTTTTGATAGGACAGAAAACAACTATGTGCATTTGAGGAATGGCCTCTCCTTCCTAGTTTCTTTTAAATGCACCAATAGAAGATTGAGTGTCATTCTTAGAGAATCATATTATGTTGTAGATTCTCTACTTTTTAGTATGCTGCTAGTATACGGTAGATTTTCCCATTAGTATTAAAATTATTTACTTATGAAAAAGATCCATAGTATAAGGAAGATGGCGTAGAACGTTCAAGGATAGTGATGCTTAGCTAAAATAAGCTTAAAAGGTCAAATTGTGTCAATATGTATGGACTATAAGAATTTAAAACCTTGTAAAGCTATATTTGGATGAATTTGCTACTACCTTAATTAACAATATTTTTAGTTGAACCTTTACTACAAAACTAAAGTTATTTCTTTACAACGTATAAAAGTTGGAATTCTACATGTAATAGATTCTGTTTGTGAATATGAATTTAGAAATGAAGACTTCTAAAAAGTTTTCCGTATTTGTGATTTTTATATAATATTAACAAGAATGATGTCCCTTATCAAAGGGAATATTAAGAAAAGTTATGTCAAACTAGATAGAGCTTCCCAGTGAATGTTAAATGTCATTCTGTTAGCTTATAATTAATTATCTTGTATTAGGAAATTCAACGGCGATCTTGAGTTTTGCATGAAAGGATAGTGTACAAGTCACGGATAGTGTACAAGTAACGGATATGAGTTACCAATTGTTTTTGATATTGACTGATATGGGTTACCAATAGTGCTGCAACCAATTATGGGGGAGGCAACATCTTCATTTTCCAGTATTTGAGACTTTGAAAGCACATAGTTACTGGGTTGGAGAGTATCTTTTTTGTCTGTTTTAGTCTTTTACATTTAGTCTATGCACT